CGCTCTTCTGGGCCGAGAGTGAATGCAGCGTGGGAGAGGAGTGGGGTGCTTGCATGGCTAATGTGCAGACAGAGGTGCATAGCAGCTGATTTTATCAAGAGACCAAAAATCCATGTGCTGGCTGGTGGTGGGTGAGGAGAAACAATGTGCTCTGCTGCCTGGATCCAGTGTGCAAATCCAAGTAAAAGTGGTGTAATCCAGGCAATTTCTCTAATTCGGGCCTTAAATAAAATCCTATGACTGGTCTGTTTGTGCCAGCTTTGTGCTGAAATCACGTTTGTTTCTTGCACAATGCCAACCCAACCGCATCTGTTCAGAGATTGTGTCTTGGGGTGACACAACAAGCAGCGCACGCGGGCAAGCGGCCGTGCCGTAGATGGACACAGGAGAGCAGAGACAGCGTCCGGCTGCCTGTGCTGAGGCTGCACCCGCAGTGCCGCTCGGAGAAGGGAGCTCCTGGAAGCTTGGCAGCAGTCGCTGATGTGCCGGGGGGCTGGCTGTGCCCGCAGTAGGTCTCCGCAGACATGGAGCACATGCCCTGTCCTCACTGATCTGCTCTGGTTGCAGAGGGACCGCTGCAGAGATGTTGCTGTTCAGATCTACGCTGTCACTTTAGTACTTAGAGTAGCATAAACGCCACACAACTACTTGCATTGGCTTGAAAACACCTGTCACCACTGGCTCCTCTGGGCTTTCCGTATGGACGTAAGTGAACCAGAGCTCAGCTCTGTTCCCAGGGGTGCTCTGTGTGTGCAAGAGGTGAGGCCAGCCCCGTGCACATCTCGGGGTGAGCTTGCCCCTGCCCCACGCTGCCTGGGTGCTGGAAGGGGAGCGTGTCCCTGCTGCAGGCACAGAGGAGCAGCACCCTGTCCCAGCCGTGGCCCTGGCTGTTCTCAGGCCTTGTGCTTGGGGTCGAGGAACTTGGTGGCTCCGTAGCTGGGATGCAAGACTTACGTGACTCCCAAATTCCCAGCTGGCCAGAGTCCCAGTGCTCTGGGTAATGCTGCTTTCCAGGGTTTTCTCCTCTTTGACCTCAGCCGTGGCTCCTGTGTCAGTGACTTGGATGCAGCAAGTGGAGGGAGCCGGGATCCCGTCTCCTTCCTTCTACACGAGCGTTGTAATCATCAGGCTGGACCTCAGAAGCTGGGTGGAGGCAGTGGGGGGTGTAACCCCACACTGTGTTACCCAAGTGACTCCCAAACCATGCACAGGGCTTAGTTCAAAGGTAACAAATGAGGGGCCACAGAGCCATAATTACTGATCAGACTGTCCTGGTGAGAGCAAAAGCAGTGATTTTAAGATTTAACGTCAAAAGGGAAATGAGGGGCTGGCCTTAAAGGAGAGCCCTGGGGACAGGACGTGATCACGCTCTGTGAGAAGGAAAGAGTCATCACGGAAAAGCTTGGGGAGTTGATTGCATCAGCCTTTGCTGTGAAGGAGCTCACGCTAGGGTCATTCCTTAGGGGACACATTTGCATGACTGTCCCAAGGCACTAGGGGGAAAAAAAAAAAAAAGAGGATTTTTTAACCCCATTTTTAGAATGCATGGTTAAAAGTCTGCCAGCAAGAACGCTCAGATGAACTGCCAAATACTCTCCTGGGTGAGAATCACAGTGATCCCTCTCCCAAAAAGCCAATATGTTGTTAAATAGGATGCTAATTTTTAAAAAGTTCCAGTGGGAACCAGGAAGCTGCAAAGCAGTCAGGCTGCCTTCTAAAAAAGGCGTGTTGTTAGAAAGGATAATAAAGTCTTGAACTAACAGGATAAATCTGGTGTAATGGGAGATTCCACGTGGCTTTTGAGGGGGCAGTTGCAAGGCACAAACCTAGAGAGCTCTTAGAGGAAACCAGCCATTGTGTACACAACACAATCTGGTCCTTGGAGTGCACTTGGATCTCCAAAAAGCTTTCCCAGAAAGGCTCTTAAAGAAATTAGGCTGTCATGGGAAGAAGAGGAAGGTCTGGGTATTTTCTTATTGGAAATATTTTCTTTGCGCTCTAAAGCCTTGAAATGCACAAACCAAACATTTCTTACGGGACAAAGTTCTGTGGAAAATACAAGCTATTTCCGTGTAACCCTTGTTTCTGCTCAGTGGTGCATGGTTTCTTTTTCAGCGTTCCAGGGAAGTCTCTGCACAGCCACAATCCCAGCGCACGGTCTAGGTTCCTTATGGCCCCCTCACATGGAGCTTCGTTGCTCATTTTCGACCTCAATGTCCCCAGCCTGCTCTGTGCATTCATTAAACCCCCACCCTGGGGCTGTGGGAGAGATGATGGAGCATCCGTCACCAAACCACGGCAGAGCCACGCGACCAGGGGATCTGCCCACTCAGGACTGAAAGAGGTAAAGTGGGTAAAAGTCTTTAGGGGACAGACCCAGTCCCTCCATGGGGGTCCCAGGGGGCAAAGCTCCTCCAGGCAGAGGTCCCAGCTCCCCAAGGATTTCCGACATTGACTTCATTACTAAAGATTAATGAGAAAGAAACAACTGCGCTCCCAACGGCTCGGCAGCCGAAGCTGCGGGGGTTTCCTGTGTGGTCCCATGGCCCCCTCCCAGCCTGGCAGCATTGAGACCTGCCGGCACCTCTCGCCCACCCCTCGCTGCGAGGCACAAGGGAGGCTGGTGGGCAGCGGGAAGGGGCAGCCCCCCAGTCTGGCAGGTCTGGCACCCCTGCTGGGGGTCTCTAATCAGCACAAACCCAAGCATCTCACCCTCTGAAACTTTAAGGTGTCATTTTTTCATTCCATTTCCATTACAAACCAGCAAAAAGCTCAGCCAGGCTCTCCCGGGAGGCACGGTTCCAGCTTCCAGTTACTGCGCTCACGCTGAAACGGTCGTTGTTTGCTGCATGATCCCGGAACAGCTGGAGGCAGGATTGCAGCGCAGGTCCAGGCACACCTCTGACGCCGCTCGGAGAGGGAGAGGGTGCCCAGGGCTGAGCTTAAATGTAGCTCCGGGCTGGTCAGGGCAGGTGGGGCTGGTCAGGGCAATTTAGGCCATTAGTGCCCTCGGAGTGTGGACAGCCAGGTTGGGAGCAAGGTTTCCTATTTCCAGCTCTGAGCTCTGGGTGTTGAACAAAGCACTTGGATGCACCGTTTCAAAAGTGACGCAGGCAGCTGAGTGACAAGCACGTGGCACATTGTTGGGGTGAACCCCTGAGCCCACAGCCCGAGCAGGATGCCCAGGGGATGCCCTGGATGGGGTGGAGCGAGACTGGGGAGCAGAGCAGGGCCACGCACCCTCTGTGCGCCTGTGCCGGCATTGGTGTAATTGCACAGGCGCTGGTGTGGGGTGGCGAAGGCCCCCGTTGGTCTAAGTCCTGCTACGCAAGGGTTGGTGCTGAGACCCCCATAGCTGCCCTGCCTGTGTTTGAGGGCTTTTTTCCCCTTGTGCTGGCTCTAGCCTGGCCGTGCAGATCCGGATGATGGTCTGTGACCCTGCTGAGGATGGGCTCTCACATCCCGGCTGGAAGCCAAGAGGGAAGTGTTCAGGATGGTTGCAGTTACCCCCTCCAAGCACTGCTAAGCAGTGTTAGGAGTGGCTCTATTGCAGCTGGGGGTGCAGTTTGTTCTCCCCTCTGAGCAGCTGTGGGGGCCACTGAGTCAGGGCTTTGGCTACAGGGCCCCTCGGAGCCAGGCTGGACCTTGTCTTTGCCACGATTCCCCTCTGAGCAGGCAGGCTGTCTGGGCTTGCACCTACACTGTGCCTGGCTGAGACCGGGAGGAATTCACGTCACAGATGACGCGACCGTAGGGGTGGCACTTGCTCCGTGATGGAGCGATGGAAGAGATCGTACCTGAGCAAACAGAAACACCACAGTGCTGTGCCGCACCCAAGCTTTAGGTGAGCAAGGGGCTGCATCCCAGTGGGCCAGTGATGGGGCAGAGCGATGCAGGGGAAGGCAGGGACCGGTCCCTGCTCAGGCCCTGCACCCCACATGGCGAGCGGCTCCAGGCTCTGGAACGTGTTTTACTGCTCTGAAAGGGGATGGAAAAAGGGTCCAGATTTTCCATCTAACAAAATTCTGGATGGGAATCCTTTTCAGCCTCATTAAAGTGTCGCTGTCAGATAAAACCAGAACATTTGCTATGATTAAAAGATTTATTTTTTTCCTAAACTTATATTAAAATGAATTTGTTCTGGAACAAAAGTCACTGTTAGCCACCAGCTAATAATAACTGCTGAAACTGGATATTTTTTGCTTAGCCACAGCTTTTAAATCCATAGCAAAGCTTCTCCTAAGCACTTCTATGAAAGTGACATTTTTCATTGAAGAAAACCTCGCCTGAATGAAGCATTTCTATCTGGCTCCTCTCAATACTGACCCGGAGCCTGATGGATCATTAACAGGCAACTCTGTGGGCCCCCCCCCAACAGCAGCTTGGCCCTTCCAGTTCGATTATCTGATCTCACCCCAGAAAAAACACATACTTCCCACCCCCAACCCCCCGGTGTGAGCTTGGAGAGGAGAAAACAAAATCCAGAAGCCGCTGGGGCCGGGGCCAGCTGCGGCAAGACGTTCGGCATTGGTTACGGGGCTGGCGGGGGTCCAGCTCCCGGCACTATATAGGAGGGAGAGGGGGAGCTGGGCTGCAGACCGAGCTGCCGCCGCCTGTTTTAGCCATCGTTCACACTTCTTCTCGCGGCTGAGGAAAACTACAGCCTGCCAAGATGTGCAAAGGATTAGCAGCGCTGCCCCACACGTGCCTGGAGAGGTGAGAGTGGCTGTGCCGGGGGCAGCTGGGGACGGAGAGGGTCTTCCTCCGGCATATCCCCGCAATGGACATCTCTTACGGGGACTGGGATTGCCCAGCTCTGAACTGGGAGGGAAGGGAGGTTTGCTGGAGGGCGAGTGCTGATCCAGTCCCAAACTCTGCCCTCCGGTTTGGGAACTGCCCTGCTTGGGCAAGTCCGGGATGCCCCAAACCCACCCCCTCACCCTCCGCTGCTCCCCTGTGCGG